TTTGTAATAGGCCATAATTCCTAGTCGTAAAAGTATGAAATGTATCAACAAATTTGAAAAACTTCCCTCGCTCACCCTGTTAGGCAATATTTTTCCACTTTCTCTCGCTCTCTCTCTCTCTCTCTCTCTCTCACTCTCTCACTCACTCTCTCTCTCTCTCTCTCTCTCTCCCTCTCTCTTTCTCTCTTTCATTTCCGTTTTCCAATTCGCGCACTCGCGCAACAACGGAACGTACGATCGTTCGCTAGAGGACTCGTTTAGATTGCCTAAAAATTTCGCGTTTTACAACACAGCGTGACCAAGCCGCGAGTGTCGGGCTTCCTCGGGTCTACGAGACCGATCGCGAACGTTCGCCGCGCGGATAAACTTTCAATGAAAACAACGATCCCGGTAATTGCACGAAATGAAATGATTGCACTATAGAAAAATAAACTATTCGATGATGTACACCGTTATTTATGCTCTTTTATACGCGGACGAGGTTCCTCGAGCAACGCGAGGAACAGCGTCGCGGGAAGAGGATGATTCGCGTTCCGCTCGGTCCCGGAGGACAGCCCGACGCCCGGCTCTCTCTCTCTCTCTCTCTCTCGTTCCTTTCCTTGACTAAAGGCGAAGAAATCGATATAATTTAATTAATAATTGACAGATAACCAATTAATACGTATAGGATGGCCGCGCGGCAAGAAGGCGTAAATTCCTAAGATTCAAACGACATAAACTTTTCTAATTTTAACATCGCCTCGGGCCATCCAGTACATTGATTGTAATTACTTCCCGCAGTATACTTCGTTAACCTACTATCTTTATAATAGAAATCATGTGTCTGTATGTATAAGATTTCTCTCTTCCCTCTCGTTCCGGCTCATCCTCGTGCCGTAAATTGTTGCGTACGCGCTCCCTCTTCGGGATACAGTATGTCTCCCTTACTGACGCTCGAATTGTCCACGAAAATGGACAACTTGGGAAGTGGAGCCTTGCGAATTCGAGCCTTGCAGCTCGTTCTTATAGTTATTGAGAATCGGTAATTATAAAAAACGAGCTGCAAGGCTCGAACAATCGTATCTCCGCTTCCCAAATTGTCAATTTCAGTGGACAATCTGAGCGTCAGTAAGGGAGACATTACTGTACGACTATAGGCGAGCAACAATACGCCGCCGGCGTACTTGTATGTTTGGTGTACGCGCGCGCGCGCGCGCGTGTGTGTGTGTGTGTGTGTCTTCTTCCGCTTCTTCGTGAGTCTGTACAGTTCCGTCAAGCAAATTACACATTTACATGTGACGCGTCCGTGCGCGTACGCGCGCCCTTTTGAATTTCAATTCCCGCGTTTAGTGCGCCCGCACGCGCACTCGTCTTCGTTTGCGCGCTTCGAATGAGATTCTTGAAAAAACGCTCCCCTCGCATACGCTCTCTCTCTCTCTCTCGCTCTCTCTCTCTCTCTCTCTCTCTCTCTCTCTCGCAATCGGTCGCACACGCATACAAACTTTCCTCCATTTTAAATAGTTAACAGTAACATCAGCATGAACATTGTACAGAGTGGTGGATGTACAATAAGCCGGATTTCCGGCGGACAGTTCCCGGAGCACCGGAAACGCCGCTCCGTCGACGAGGTTGCGCGACGTCGCGGCCTCGAGAACGAGCGGGCCGAGCAACGCCGAAATCGAACACGCTTACAAGTGTAATAATACTACTCTGCACGATCTCGCTCGGGCCTGACCGCGGGTCCCGCCGTTGCGACGCCGCGAACGAAGGAACTGATCGTCGTTTCTTCGACGACTGGCTGCACTTACGCTCGATCGCGGAATGTGAGAACGGGTCCTCAATAGGAAGGAAGTATCGTAGCGAATACTGATTCTGTTTTTCCGATCTTCGACGACCGGGGCGGACCGGTTTTCCGGCGGGAACTGTCTGCCCGCGGGGGGTGTAGATCCGCGCGTAGAGCCGGATACGCGCGCAGTGTTCCTCCTTTTTGTTTTTCTCATCTTTTGTTCACAGTTACAAAACTAACTAAATCTTACGAGATACGGTGAGCAATAATTCCAGATATGTACAGAAATTATGTTACAGACGTCACAATATAAAGATATCCTCTGGCAATACAAATGTATATTCGTTCTAGCCACGGAACGGCCGTCGGCGACGAGCAGCACGCTGTCGTCCGGTGGCCGTTCTCGCTCGTCGTTGACGCTCTGACACGCTCGCTCGAGTTTCTCCGTCGAGTTTTCTCTCTCCTTCGAGTTCGTTTCCGTCGATCACCGATCTGCCGCGCGAGCAATGCGCCGGTTCATACTCTGCAGCCTTCTCCCTCGGAATCGTTTTTTTTTCTTGTTTTTTTTTAATAATTGATAGGCTACCCTGTTTCGTTATCGTAATCAAATGGTATTTGATCCTCGGTGAACGTAATCGCGACCTGAATCAGTGATGTCTTCTCGGTTCTTTTCTTTTCTTTTTCTTTTTCTTCTTTTTTTTTACAATCGTCGCACTTGCTTAAATCCGGGACCGTTGCATCGATCGTCGAGGTTAAATTCGATCGATCGATCCCTCTCTTCATCCGTGAACCACGAACGTCCCGAACGAACAGAAAGAAACGAACCGATTTACAATTCCGAGCAAAATCAGGATAACTTAACAACGAGCGCAATCAAGCGAATACTTTTCGAATATTCTGCCTCCTCCTCGGATAAGTTTCGCCTAAAACTTCCCTCGCTTCGATAGTTCGCTTTTTGTTGTTGTTGTTGTTGTTGTTGCTGTTACTTAGTTGTATAGTTATATAGTATATTTACAGGAAGCCGTTCTACTCGCGAACGAGCTTATTTCAATAGTGTTTTGCTCTCGTAGCGCCACCGAACTGTAGGCCCTATGTTCATATTGACAACAGGTGTATAATATATATTTATATCTATGTATGTATATATACATATACATATACACATACATATTCATATAACGTACACGTACACGTACACGTATACACATACGCATACATATACATATACGTATACGTATATATGTATGTACGAATATATACCTAATCATTTTAGCTATCTATTTTACAAACGTCGGCCCGGCGAACGCGTGGATCGTTTGACAAGCACGCGTTCGCGCCTAATCGAATCGTCAGGCCGCAAAGGAGACACGTGATCGCGGCGGGCCTTGTCGCACGAGTCCCGCGCGATCATCGGCGCTGTCGCGTTTGCTCTCTCCCGCTTTAGTGCGCTTTTATTTTTGCGAATACTGCGCGAGATCTATAACTTCGTATTTTCCTACAAATAAAAAAAGGCAGCGCGACACAGTAACGTCGAAGTAGCAGCCGAGACGTTGCCGGTCCGCGGCCGGGCGACGACGCGACGTCGCCGAAAAACGTTCGACGTCGCCGCGTCCGGGCCGGGCGTCCGTCTCGATATCACATATTCAAAAAAGCGAAATACCCGACGAAGCTTGTTTCGGCCGCGTGTTCGGTATCCCAAGGGAGCACGCGAACAACGCGCACACGCGTTCCTCCCCCGCGAAGTAGACCGCTACTTCGACCAACGACGACTCTCGCAACGAGCTCCGATCTGGTTCGCCTCGATTCGATCCGATCCGATCCGATTCCGCTCGATCGACTCGAGCCGATCCGATCCGATTTCTCGTCCTTCTTCGTTACTTCGAGCGAACCGCTTTAAATGCTTATCGAGATCTAAATTATGCGAATAAAAAGATTGTCGATACCGAGTGGTCTGTCCTCGTTCCGAAGAGCCCCTTCGATCTACGAACCTAATCACCGTCCCTCATCGTTCATCAACGTCCCTCGAACACAGTAGTCGTCTTTCGTCGACGTTCATTTTCCGCTCCGCCCGTCGACTCGAAACTGTCTCGCGTACACCGACCGTATTGCTTCTGTCCTCCGGATGTGTTGTCTCCCCCACTGGTGTCCAGCCACGGTGGCCGACCAGCATCGGGCGAATCAGGAAAATACGGCGTTCCCATGTCACGGAGGAGCCTTCTCTTCCTCTCGCCTTCAGTCTTCTTAAAATGGAACACCGTGCGCCGGAGACGGTCGATCGTTTCGCAAGAACTCGACCGGTGCACCACCGCGCCCGATACGCCTGCTCGTCCGGCTCCGTTCCGCGAAACCAGTCGCAGAGGATACACCCTGAATCTACGAAAGCCGAGCACCGGCTTCTCCATACACGTTCGGCTGCCGGCAGGTGCGTGTGTTCCTCTCGTTTTTGCCGAGGCTCGCCCGAGGCAGCGAGACCCTTATACGCCGCGAAGCGAGCCGGATCGCGGCTGTTCATTGAATAATCGCGGTATCGATTCCTGCGTAACCGGGAACGTGTCTGAATCCTTGTCGGCCGATGCCCGGCCGCTCGTGAATCCTGCTCGGCGTCGTCTCCGGAATACTAAAACCCGTCCCGTAGGTTTTCCTTTTGGTCAACAGTTTCGTGGCGACGTCGAAGCCAGCGAACTCCGCCAGCTCCAGCGACTCCTCCCGTCTGCCGGGGGTCGACCGCGACGCCAGGGGGTGTCTCTCCCAGGGGGCGCACTCGTGATTACGGTCCCGTCTTGCCGGGATCCGAGCCTCGCTCGAAGGGTGCCAGCGCGCGATCGACGACTCGCGAAGCGGCCGCTCGGCGTCGATCCGATGACGCTCCTCGACCAGCTGTCGATGATCTCGGCTGGCCCTCCTCAGCTGCCGCAGCACCAGCTCGATGTACCTGAGCGTCTCCCCGTTCTCGGCGATCCGCTGCGCTCGCCCCCTCGGCCGATACTTTTTATCGTGCTCTATCCCCAGCCTCGACTCTCCCAGCAGTCGTTCGATCTCCGACGCCGTCATGGAAGTTTGCTGATCGACGTCCTCGCTGCTCTCGAACATCTCCTGCCGGCAGTCGTGGTAGCTGCTCGCGTTCGAGGGAAACGTCCCCCGTGGCTTCGATATACTCGAGCTCGAGTACCGAGTCTCTTCGAGGGTTTGCCGGTGTCCAAAGACGGTGTTAATTAGGCCCGAACGTCGACGGTTCTAGTTCGGATAGACCCCCTGGCCTCATACATGCGTCGCTAACGTCCCCACCGCCGAGGTGCGTTTCACCGTCGCGACGCCGCCGTTCGGGCCGCCCGTGATGTAGTGCGCCGACAATGGAGCCTGGAAACCATGGACAATTGCGTGAAACAATGCGATATTAGCCGGCGCGTGATTCGTTTCGAATCGTTCGACGAAGTAGTAGTCTACCGCCGGGGCCTTTTGCTCGAGTAAAATCGTTACAGAACTTGACGTTCCATCGAGACACCGTCGAGCGAAAGCTTCGCGCTCCGGTTAGTCGATTTAGGCGATGTTACGCGTGGGCTAATCCCCTCCGGAACGGATCGCGAAACTTCCCATTATCCTTCCTACTCCTGCTCTCGGTTAAGTATTCCGATCGACGGATAAAGCGATAGCAAAACGAGAAGCCGGTATCGAACGAACTGGCTGATCGGAGCCGATTAGATCAACTCGGGGGCTATTCCCATAGGCGCAGAGATTTATCGGAACTAGTTCAGGTGAGCGTTGGAATGCACCTGGGGATGTCGCAACCGCGTCTCGGAATTTGACACACATTCGCTGTCATTGTACTAACCTGCGGCCCAGCGCCGTTCAAGGTATTCAAGCTATTCATTCTCATTGCTTGCGTGTAGGGTGGTGGTGCTGGCGTCACTCCCGGCACCGCCGTGTGTGGCGCGTGTCTCAGCTGCTCCGCCGCTGACATTCTATTGTTCCCGGGAAAAGAAAAACGATCAGACCCGCGATCGATCGCGACCGGCCAGCACGGCGAATCGATTTGTATCGCGGAATATATGAGCCGTTTATTTTGAAACTGGCATAAGTCACTTTGTTTTTAACACGAGATATTTAAGGGTTTGCGTTTTAACACGTTTCAAAATATGGATGCTAACTTTCGAGAAGATTTACTTGTATTTGTTACCTCAGGATATTGATATTTTCCGCAGTATAAATAATTTCGTATAAACATTAAAATGTCACCACTTTTCATTACGGTAAAGTGACTTATGCCACTTTTAAAATAAACGGCTCATATGGTGTCGCGAACGGAAAGTAGGTAACGTCTCTCTAACCGACGCACGGATTGTGCAGAAAAATAGACAATTTGGGAAGAGGTGATGTTAACTAACGTTGCACTCGAAGCTGTTTTAATTGTATTTGAAACATATTTTCTGATCTACGATGTTTCTGTTTTATATGATTCTATGATTTATCGCGATTTATGCATATGGAAGCTTATTGGCGAGTACAAAACTTTCAATTTTAACAGTCTTTTAGATATAAACGAGTCTGATACTGTTACGGTTATTTTGAGAAATAGTATAGCAATTTTTAGTGGCGCCTCAGAGTCGTCGCTCGAGTGCAAATGATAAGATTATTCGATCCTTGCGGTTCGTTTTTATAGTTACGAATTGTCAACAATTATAAAAACGAGCCACGAGGCTCGAACAATCGTATCTTCTCCTCCGAAATTGTCCATTTTTCTGCACAATCTGTGCGTCAGTTAGAGAGACATTACTGTATATCGCACGCACAATGGGGGTGAAGTGACGAAGTTCTGTCAAAATCAAATAACTCTTGATAGAAATGAGATAAGGCAATGATATTCTTTCTTTAAATTAAAGCTGATATGTTGCAGAATAATGGAAAAGGAGAGAGAATGCAATGTAAATATTTTTTAACCTTAAAAACTTATGTTAACCTTAAATTCTGCATCATTTCTTGTATATTTTGACACGTTGATTTTAAATCCCATCGCAAAATTCATTTGCCACTCTAAGATCTTGAAAAAAATCAGTAATCTGATTACGGTTGCAAGAGGGTTGCCCCTAATTTTGATATCCTCTTTTCAAGCTTTCATTTTAAAAAAGATGTCACGTTTAGAAACTCTTTATATGGATCACAAAATGATTAAAAACTAGATTCAAATGCACCAATAATTGGTGTGCCATACGTTTAACCCTTTGCACTCGAAGCCAATTTAACTGTAAATCTAAATTAATTTTTCTGACTTATACGGTATTTCCATTTTATACGACAAAGTGCATTTTATGCTCACGATTTATAGTCTTGCGACTCGTACAACAATTAGACTTTTAACAATGTCTTTACGTCTAGACTTTTATAATATAAAAGTTACCTTGGAACGTGATGTAATAATTTTAATGGTGCCCCAGAGTCACCGCTCGAGTACAAAGGGTTAATATTTTCTTTGAATTTTACGATTTTGCATTTAGAACCCCTTTAGCACAGAGAATCATCCAGAACGAACAACATTTTCTACTCGGAAGCTCTAAAGCGTTGTTAGTTCTTTTCAACTATATGGAACGCGATGTAATAATTTTAACGGTGCCCCAGAGTCTCACCGCTCGAGTGCAAAGGGTTAATATTTCCTTCGAATTTTACGATTTTGCATTTAGAATCCTGTTAGCACAGAGAATCGTCCAGAACGAACAACATTTTCTATTCGGAAGCTCTAAAGCGTTGTCAGTTCTTTTCAACTATAAAAAATGAAACGTAAGAAATTGAATTTCGGCCGTGAAACATGAAACGCTGGGCGTCGATCGTGGGGGCATGGAATTACGCGCGCACCGATTTGCTCGATTAATATTAAAACTCTTGCGAGGCCCGGCCCGGAGGCAGCGTTATAAATATTCAAGACGGACGATTGATAATTTACAGGGCGCGCGATTAATCCGTAGGAACGATTGTACGCGGGGCGCCGGTGAAATCCGTTGATCGATACGCCGTAAATATTGTAACGTTAACGCGCCACATTTTATAATGTGTCGTCGACAGGGGCGGCACCGTTCGCGCGCCCGTTGTTCCAATATTGCTCGTTCCGTCGGACGTGTCCCGGTTCCACGTAACGTCACGTTCCATTGTCTCTCCTTTCGCAGTCGTCCGGTGTCCTTCCTCTCTTCCGCTACGCGGGGAGAGATAGAGAGAGAGAGAGAGGATCGGATGGACGGGCTATAACTCGATCGTCTTCGGTAGAATTCGCGCGCTCCTTTGTGGGATTACCGCGTCAAAACACAATTACAGCTGGTCAAAGGTTCCTCTATTATAGCGTGTCGAACTAGATTGCAGACTCGGTGACAGAGAGGCGCGGCGCTGTTTCATCGGGAGAACCGAGAGCTCCCTGGAAGTTTACCTGAGGTAGGGGTTCCCGTACGTTGCGGAGAAACGAGGGTCGATCGCGGGAGTTGCCTGCGGACTCGAGGTGCCCAGGTTCGCGGAACTCAGGCCGATCTTCTTCGAGGCGAGGATCCCGCCCGACGGTATCCTGCTTAAGGATTCCCGCGACGCACCCACGCCTTGCGTCGTGGGCGGCATGTAGTCGCGGGTGTAGTCTACGTACGGCACGTAACCGTTGTTGTTACTGCCGTCCTGCAACAGGGAAAACCGTGAACGTTAGCGAGAAACGCGACGCCCTTTTTTTTCCCCGAACGGGTGTATCGACTATCATCGTGGCAGTGACCCGCCGGTGCTCCACTTTCGTTAAGACTCTTTTCTTGTTTCTGATACGCAAACTTCCCGTGCCGTTGTCGATGGGACACGAAAACCGGAATATGTAAACGGAAGAGGAATTAATCCCCCCCGGGCATGACACCGGCGTGCGCGCTGCGCAAACTTCCGCGTGTGCTAGATATTAGCACAGCGTACCGATCCGTGAATTTTCCTACGCGACTCGAAATTGTTGTTCGACGCGGACAGAATTCGTAAATCGGAGACGTTCTCGTGATCGAATAAATGGCCGACTCGAAATATACAGGCTGTCCCAAAAATGTCTCGGAAGTGGCGGGTTCCTCGGGTCAATTGAAGCAACTTTTTCCTTTACAAAAATGTTCTCCGAGGCGCCGTTAACGAGTTATTAACGAAAAACAGTGACCAATGAGAGGCGAGCTCGGCTGGCGCGAGGCGACCGAGCCAACGAGCGGAACTGGGCGTCGCGCGCTCGCTGGCTGCGCCGCCTCGCGCTAGCCGAGCTCGCCTCTCATTGGTCGGCGTTTTTCGTTAATAACTCGTTAACGGTGCCTCGGAGAAAATTTTTGTGAAGGAAGAAGTTGCTTCAAATGATCTGAGGAACATTTCCGCGAGGGACACCCTGTAGCACAGCTGGGATATCTGCAGTTCTTCTTTCGCAGAAAGGTTCACCGGATTTTCACGTAACACGAAAATCAAAGAAACGACGGTGAAAATGAAATGTTGGCGAACCAGATTAGTCGTACAAAGAGCGAAGTTAATATGAGACGCGAACAAGAGAAACAGATTGTCTGCCTTTTATAATAGGAATTATTAATTATGAGTTGTTTGTAGCCTGCGAATATCTCCGGCGTTTCGCGCACTAGGGCTGGAGATGGCAAAAGGGTTGAAATAAATTCTCGCAGAGCGTTTCCAATTTAGATAGCACGTTTCGCAGCGCGCTCTTGGGACCGACGGCTTTTGTTCGCCGCGATACGGGGGACGTAAAGTAATCCGAATCCGTCAAAGTAGCGAAAAACACGGCGGATAAGTTCACTTACGTTATTCTTCGGCGGGAACGACGGTTCCGTGTAATCGGCGCTGTAACGATAACCCAGCGGATTCGGAACAGGCCCGGCCAGTGCCAATGCGTTCACGCCTCTCGTGCTTCCTTCGCCCTCGCTGTCAAGTGCTGTCACGCTCTCCGCGTTGCTGACACTCGAGCCCGCTCGAATATCCGCTTTGACATCCGAGAGGTTACTGCTTCTGTCACTCTCTCGATATCGATCAGCGTTCGAATCTGTTTCTTCTGTAGAATCACCGAAAAACAAACCAGCCGAGTCAGCGGCGGGTTCGACGACAGGATTTTGTTAATGTCACTTTTACCGACTTTTCCCGGCTATCGAACGCGCTGCTCGGCGGAATCGACGCAACCAAATGCGGTGGACGGTGAACTTTACGTTTCATTTACTGGAAACTTGTTGGATAGATTTGTCCGAGATTTGTCCAAGTACTTTTTAGACTCGATAATGGGTTTTTAAATAATAATCTTGGCGGAAGTTAAATTATTGTAACTTTTCAACTGTGGCACGTTCGCTGCCAGTGTGTGTGTGTTTCAGGAATACAGTAATGTCTCCCTAATTGACGCTCAGATTGTGCACAGAAATGGACAATTTGGAAAGAGGAGATACGATTGTTCGAGCCTTGCAGCTCGTTTTTATAGTTCTTGACAATTCGTAACTATAAAAACTAACCGCAGGACTCGAATAAAAATCGTATCTCCTCTTTTGAAATTGTCTATTTTTATGAACAATCTCAGCATCAATTAGAGAGACATTAACTGTAGTTCTCAATAATCTCGGTAATTTATATGCATATTTCATCGGAATCGCTTAACGTTGTTATTAATTACAAGCAATTAAAGATAGCGTTGGGTTTTTACGAGTCTAGAGATTTTAATATCTTTCAGTGTCTGCTGCAGGCTCGGATAAAGAAGAGTTGGAAAAATATCATTTTTCAATTTTTTCATCATGCCATCCAATTGGAATTTTTGAATACAATTTTTCAGGCATTGTCCAGTGAACTAATTTAACCTAGAAGTTGCTTGGTCCAATTAAAAAAATATAGTTATCCTATTCTATTCAAATATATAAAATAGTTTTAAACAATGACCGAATATTTTCGTGACCGACCATATGTAAAACGGTAGGATTTGAAAAGGGAAAGCTAGATAGCGGTTCGCGATTCGAAAGGTGACGCAAGTCCCGGTGGCTGTTTTTGCGGACCGATAACCGGCGTTCAATGTTGGTAACGACAACAACGTTCCGAACAATGAACAAGCCGCATGTTGCGCCGACTCCACCCTTCCAGTTGCGGATTAAGCGCAACGTATCGGGCTCGTTTGCATTCAATAACCTATCCTTCATCCGCGGAACATTTTTCCGCATCGTTAGCGATAGATGCCGCCGATAACGGCGCCGTGTGTCGCCTCGGAAGAACGTCGGCGACGGGCGAAAATTACGAAACGGCGAGTCACGAACTCGAAAACAATGGAAAATTGCGGGGCGGCTTGACTAATGGCGGTATAATTCATTCGAACATGATATTCCACTCACGCATATCAGTCTCCTGAGTCTGTGCTGTCCTCGGCCGCGGCTGTTTGATGCGGTCGCGACACTGCAGAATTAGTATAATGATCACGCCAATCAGGATCACGCAGACGACCAATCCGCCGATGATGAGAATCAGTTGCCAATCGACTGGAATCAACGCTAAGCGTCACGTTTGGTTAAAATCTCGAGTATTTAGCTCGGCGAGTTAGGGCGACATTTGTGTTCTTCTCCTCTCTTCGGTGTCTGTGTGTTGTCGTTTCGTGAAAACAGGAAAAAAGGAAAACGAACGGAAACGGCCGGACAGGGAGGGGGGAGAATAAAATTCGGTAGCCGCGGCTGCGACCGACTGCTTAACGAGTCCGGCTAAATTTTACAAAGTGTACGCAAAATGTGCGTGGCGCGGCGCGTGTCGCTTAATTGAATCCCGCGAAATTTACGGTGTAACGCACACATCGGCGGAACTTTATAAAACGGTCGCCTGAATTATTTAATATAACGAATACAGATCGTTCGAAGCAATTTGCGCGAATATTCGGAGCCCGGCGACGAATTTTCCGAATAACTTGCGCCGGTTATATGTCCGGTGAATGGATAGGATTGAAAAAGGGACGAATCCGTGTCCGCGAATATGAATAAAAAGCGCGGGGGATATCCTTTTTTCCCCCCCTCGAGAGGCTCGATTTTGCTCTTTCGATTCGCCCGGTTAATGCTTCCGGTCGTTAATTGCTCCATCTACCACCGACCCGCGTCCGCGGCGGCGCGCTTTTTCTTTCCCAAGGATCCGGGAGATAGCGAAGAACTGGTTCAGAAATTCCTTGCGGAAACACATTTTTTCGCGGAGCGTCGATCGCGTCGTAATTTACGGCGAACACCGGACAGAACCCGTGGAGATTTTCTACCGAGACCAACGCGGCGGGAAATCCGGGTTCTGCAACTAGGCAGCTAGCAGGGTTCCGCGCGTGTACCGCGTCGGAATCTGTTTAGTTCGGAGTTGCTCCGTGCTAATGCGTTCGCGGGCTTAGCCTGTCCCGAACGGATTGAACGAACCGCCGAAAATAGAATCTAAGAGGTCCCCGGAGCTAGGCGCCGAGAGAACGGTCGTCTATACAGGGTGTCCCAAGAATGTCTCGGAATCCGAGAATAGGAGGTTTCTGAGGTCATTTGAAGCAATTTTTTCCTTTGCGAAAATGTTCTACGAGGCTTCGTTTACGAGTTATTAACGAAAAACGGTGACCAATGAGAGGCGAGATGAGTTGGCGCTTAGCGGTCGAGCCAGTGAGCGGAACTGCCGATCACGCCAGCCGAGCTCGCTTCTCATTGGTCAGTGATTTTTCGTTGATAACTCGTAAACAAAGCCTCATAGAACATTTTCGCTAAGGAAAAAGTTACTTCAAACGATCCCAGGAACTTCTCATTTCCGAATTGCGAGACATTTTTGCGAGACATTTCTTGGACACCCTGTATATCTCTTTGAAAATTTGCTCGCGCGTTCCGCGAAGCGTTCTCCTCGGCATATTGCAGCGTTCGCTCGCGCCGAAGGTTCAACGTCGAACCGACCGTGTTCCAGTCTCCCCAGCCGCGCTTACGTCGCTGCAAAAAACGGGATCGCTCGATCGGATGGATCAGATACCTGGGGGCGTTCTCCCCGAAAAATGCAAAATCAGCGACGGGCGCGGTCGCTCCACGGGATCGAGATCCCGTCATTGCGTTTTCATTTGCTCGTGAAAAAGGGTCGATCGAAACGCGGCCGTAACCAGAATTCGCCGCGTTTTCCGCGGCTGCGACCCTTGTTCTCGGCTCGGGATTCCTTCGTTTCTCGGTCGCGGACGCTTCGAGCGTTTTTCGAACCGAGAACGCTGCCAATTCCGCGTGTATCGCGTCGAAAAAACGCGAAATTACGAGCTGTCGGAGGAACACGGAATAGACGAAAGATGGAGGGAGAAGGGGAATTGTGGGCGTTTGGGTGCGCGTACGTGTGTGTGCTGTGTAATTTGCGTGTACGTGTGCTAGAGAGAGCGAGAGTGTGTGTGTGTGTGTGTGTGTGTGTGTGTGTGTGTGTGTGTGCGAGTGTGCGAGTGGGGGAGTGATAAAGAGGGAAAAAGTTCGGTCATAATGGATATGAACTTACTGTGTGCCGTCAGCTTGATTATGACGGAATCCATGCCGAAGCTATTCGTGACCGTGCAGTTGTAATCCCCGAAGTACGTAGATATGGGATCAAGCAGTGTGACAGTGCTGACGACCCTCTCGGCGGTGTATTCCTCTTGCACGTAGAAAGGCGTATTGTTCGACGAGAAATTGAGCTCGCGACCGGCGAAGCTCCATACCACCGAGTCCGCTTTTGGCACAGATATCGCTGTACACTTCACCTGCGAAATCGAGGAAGAACAGTCGAATGAAAAAGGCCTCCGGTTCGACGCTTGTCCTCTATGCCGCCGGATCGACCGATCCGTACATCGTATTTCGTTTTAGATCTTTGCTCGTCGCGCATCGACAACGGCGATCGGCGGGAAATAAAAGATAGAAAAGTGCGGCAATAATAAAAAAAATAACAAGAAGAAGAAGAATCGAAGAAGGATTCCGTCTGTGAAATATACAGGGTGTCCCAAAAATGTCTCGCAATCCGAAAGTAGGGAATTCCTGAGGCGATTTGAAGCAACTTTTTTCTTAGCGAAAATGTTCTACGACGCTTCGTTTACGAGTTATTCACGAAAAACAGTGACCAATGAGCGGAACTGGGCTCCGTGCGCTCGATGACTCGCTCCGCCTCACCAGCTCGCTTCTCATTGGTCAGTAATTTTTCGTTGATAACTCGTAAACAAAGCCTCGTAGAACATTTTCGCTAAAGAAAAAGTTGCTTCAAATCACCTCAGGAATCCCCTACTTTCGGATCGAGAGACACCCTGTACATATCGACGAGCGTGCCACGGTCATGGCCGGCATATTTTCGCATACTTTCTATAAAAATGTCCGGCCCAAAATCCTGCGGGCGAAGTTACGAGGGCGTGAATCGGGACCGGCGGTGTTCTCGTCGGTTTTTACGGGACATCGGGAAACGGCACCGCAAAATAAACGTCCGGCGATCGACGACGCTGGGTTCGAAGGCGGTTCGTTCGATCGGTACGTGTCGAAGAAGGATTTTGACGCGGGAACGGCGGCGACCAAAGGGAATCGAGGAAGAATACCTTGACGACTCCCTCGTCGGGCACATACTGGACCCTCTGCGACTCGATGCTCGGCGGCGCTCGGATGTAGATGTTCGCGTAGCCCGTCAATTTCGGGAAGCCGGGCACGTAAGCTTTGCAGAAGTACCGTCCGGCTGTCTCGTGATCCACGGCGACGCTTATGTTCGGCGTAGAGGCGACCTGTCGCTCCGAGTCCTCGTGGTACCAGCGTATCTCCGGGGTCGGGTTCCCATCGACGTTGCATTGCAAGATTTCCTTGGCGCCGTATTGCGTCTCCACCGAGACCGGTGGGTGTCGAAACTGCGGCCCGTCTGCGGAATTGAATTTTGACCTCCGGCAATCCCTCGAGATTGATGCGACAGCGTGGTAAGCGAGGCGAGAGACAGAGCTAGGCAGAGTGCGAGAACGAGAGAGAAAAAGAGAGAGAGAGAGAGAGATAGAGAGGAAAAGAGAGGCTGAGATGGGAGAGAAGGAGCGCCGCGAGATCGCTTCTCTACGGGCGCGCGTCTCTGCCGCCATTTTCTGCAACGTTACGCGGGATCACGTTCGCCGTTCTCGGGCCAGAGAAGGCAACCATAAATCGCGAAGACGCTCCAAAAATACACGGACAAATGCTCCCTGAAGAGGTCCAATTTATCCTCCTCCTCCTCCTCCGGGTCTTTTGACAAGCGCGATCTCGAATTTCGCTGATGCCCCCGCGCGCGAGAAGCTCACGAAACTGGATCCCCCGGTTAAATAGCCGGGCGAAACGGTATCGGAGCGGGCCGACGGACGGGCGCAGCAGATTATGGGGAAGAAAGGGCGAGTCAGCGAATAGTAATGCGTGGATTCGGCCTCGGAGTAACCGTAACACCCCGCGTCTGTCGCGGAGAATTTCGTGATTCTACGCGAGCGGTATCATCCGCGGGAAATTATTCCGATCCTCCGAGCCGAAAATTTTGCCGGCGGCCGAGGCCGGCGCACTCACAGGTTATATCCAGGGTCTCGGTGTCCTCGCTTTTCCCGACGTCGTTGTGGACCTCGCACTTTACGATCGCGTCGTGAAGATCGCGGGTCGCATTGTGGATGATCATCTCCGTGGTGTAGTCCCCGATGACCTTCTTCTCGTTGATAAACCACCTGGGAACAGAGAGAGAGCAAGAGGATAGGCCGGCGAGTGTGTAATTGCACGATAATATGCGAGGCTCTCCGGCAAAAAGAGGCCACCGGCGCGGCGGTCGACCAGCCAGCGGTGAAAAAAGCTCCGCGGATAATTATGCATTTTTTAATATTCTCTGTTCGTACCGGCGCGGCGCGGCGCGACGCGGCGCGACCCTGCTCTCTTTCTCTTTTCACCGACGCCGTTCATTTCTCGCTCCGTAATCCGTTTTTCCGAACCGTCTCCGTATATTTGCGGCCGCGGAGCGAAACGGTCCGTCGCATTTCTTCAAAATCCGAGCGTATATCATGCTTAAACGCGAAATGCCAGAACTTCCGTTTCCGCTAACGGCAAATCCAATTCATTTATCCGGCGAAACGAAACTTGAGAAAGTCGTAGCTCCGTCGTAGTCGATAGCTTTTTTTCAGACCCGTGCAATCGTTGATAAAAAGTACTTTAACCGCGACTTGTCGCCTGCTAAGAAGCCGTTTCCAAACGAACGAGGCGACGTGACTGTTGTACGTTCAGATTTTGTGGACGAGTGGAGAGAAGATCGACTAGATCTTTCCCAAAAGTACTCTCGAGTGTTTAATAAAAAGCAGGTACCGAGCAATTAGAGGTGACTCTTAGGAGCACCTTTAACGATTGTTTACAAGCCGATGGCCAATTTGAGAGAATTTACATCAAATTTTGAAAAAATTCGTTCCCTATTATTTAGTTCTTCACTTCTAAAGTGTACCAAACGGCACAATAAATTTATATAAGCCTTTAGAACTTCTTGTAAAATGCATCGATGAACAAATTTTTATGCTGGTTTCGAAACGTTTGCTTATGCAGAATATAGTTCATATTCAATAAAAGTTGAAAAACAATTACTAATTGTTCTTTTATAACACGTATGAATGTGTAATTTCATCAGGTTACGATTCCAAGTTTCTGTGCAACCATTTTTATACTTACAGTAATGTCTCTATAATTGACGCCCAGATTGCGCACAAAAATGGACAATATGGGAAGAGGAGATACGATTATTCGAGCCTTGCGGTTTATTTTTATAGTTATAAATTGTCCACAATTATAAAAACGAGCCGCAAGACTCGAATAATCGTATCTCCTCTTCCCAAATTATCCAATTTAGTGGACAATCTGAGCATCAGTAAGGGAGACATTACTGTATATGGCTACTAAATGTATTATTATGAGTATCATTAGTCTCGGTAAACATCTCGGAACAAGAATAAATATTGGGTTGGCAACTAAGTAATTGCCGATTTCAGTTCTAGATGTCTCTCACTCCCATTTTTATGATATCCGTAAATGTTATATTATAAAACTATTATTATTATTATTATTATGTTATTTTTATTATCCGTGAATGTTAGTAACTGGACAAATTGAATGCAGCGGTCAAGGAAAAGCGTCCAGAATTGGTCCATCGTAAAGGTGTCATTTTCCAGCAGGACAATGCTAGATCACACACGTCTTTGTTCACTCGGCAAAAATTGATGGATATTGGTTGGGAGTTGATGTTATACCCACCATATAGTCCTGATCTCGCGCCATCGGATTACCACTTATTTCGATCCCTGGACAACTCTCTTCATGGTAAAACTTTTAACGACGATGACGCTGTAAAATCTCACTTAACTCAGTTTTTGGCCGAAAAGGATTAGACTTTCTACGAGCGTGGAATTTTCAAGTTGTCAAAGAGATGGCAAAAGGTCATCGAACAAAATGGAAAATACATTACAGATTAAACTTCGTTCCAAGTAAAAAAAATTTGTTATTTCATTGAACAAATCGGCAATTACTTAGTTGCCAACCCAATAGTATATCTACAGTCGGTCACGAAAATATTCGGACACCACTATAATTTTAACTCTTATAATCCGTACTTTAGACAAATATTTAAAAAGAACAAAAAGAGGNGTCGGTCACGAAAATATTCGGACACCACTATAATTTTAACTATTATAATCCGTACTTTAGACAAATATTTAAAAAGAACAAAAAGAGGCTTCACGTATGTTACTATGCAGTATGTAGTTAACAAAAACATAAAAAATATTTATTTACGATACGTGGTTATATAAATAATTAATGAAATATAGAAAGAAGGCCTATTTTAATGTCACGAAAATATTCGGACACTTGCTATACACCGCAAGTTTCCAGGTTCCAGGAAGTAACCGAAACAATGTTTGCAAACACACCATTTATACTATCTACAGAGTGTGTTAGAGATCAAATATTTATCAGTCTTGTTCGAAACATATGCGAAATGGGTCGGAAAAGTATGAATATATCGTTTAATATGCGACAATTAATAATTTTTCATCGGGAAAAGGGGAAATCGATTCGCGAAATTGCTAATTTATTGAACATTAGCAAGAGCACCGTATGGGACATTGTTCAACGTTACAAGAACGAAGATAGAATTGAATCTATCCCTCAAAGCGGACGCAAACCGATCTTAACTGTTCGCGATAAACGCTCTATAATTAGGAAAATCAAATGTGATCCTCGAATAAGTGCTCCAAAATTAGCAACTGAATTAAATGAATGCCGTGGAATATCAGTGCATCCAGAAAACATAAGGAGAGTGTTACGATCGGAGGGCTATAATGGAAGAATCGCTCGAAAGAAGCCGTATATCAACGCAGCGAACAGAATGAAAAGATTGAGATTTGCACAAAACTACATTGCAAAGGACAGTGAATGGTGGGAGGACGTAATTTTCGCGGACGAGTCCAAATTTAATGTTTATGGAAGTGATGGAAGAATTAGAGTCTGGCGAAAGTCGAAGGAAGAATTAAATCCGAAACATTTGCAGCCGACTGTGAAACACGGTGGTGGATCTGTGATGATATGGGGCTGTATTTCGGCCCATGGCGTAGGAGAACTTGTTTTTATCGACGATATCCTCGATAAAAATAGATATTTGCACATTTTGCAAAAAAATTTAAAAAAAAGTGCAGAAAATATGGGTCTTAAAAATGGGATAAAGTTTTATCAGGATAACGACCCAAAGCACAAATCGCGAATTGTGCAAGAATTCCTTTTATATACTTGTAAAAATGTCCTCCACCCACCACCGCAATCACCAGATTTGAATCCCATTGAAAATTTATGGGATGAATTGGATCGTAGAATTCGGACAACAACCATAAACACAAAAGAAGAACTCAAACGACGTCTGCAAGAAGAATGGCTACGTATTGGGCAAGTTTATTTTAAAAAAATAATTTGTAATATGCCAACACGATTGCGACACGTCATAAAGCAGATGGGATATGCAACGAAATATTAATTTATAAAAGTAAGATTTATGTACAATAAAATAAATTTAATTTTCATGGTGTCCGAATATTTTCGTGACATTAAAATAGACCTTCTTTCTATATTTCATTAATTATTTATATAACCACGTATCGTAAATAAATATTTTTTATGTTTTTGTTAACTACATACTGCATAGTAACATACGTGAAGCCTCTTTTTGTTCTTTTTAAATATTTGTCTAAAGTACGGATTATAATAGTTAAAATTATAGTGGTGTCCGAATATTTTCGTGACCGACTGTATTTCCTGGCATGACCTTTTTTCACCTAGATCGTCCATTTGTCCCACTGTGGTCTCTTGCGACACGTTGCAATTATTTGTCACAATTAATCGGTGAATCTGCTCTTTTTAATGAAGCACCGTACTTTCAGAAATATTAAACGGTCTTTTTATAGAAATTTTGTCACAATCGAAACTTCATCGCGGCTTGTACAGACTCGAGAACAGCAGCAAGGTTGTTTCAAGTTCAGAATTAGAACACGCATTCATTTCGAGATACCGACACCGAATCAAGATTTCGTATGGCGATACAACGGACCCGTGACCGCGTTAAAGAAAAGGGTTGCGCCGGAGTATTGAAAATCGCGGCGAGATTGACGCCGCGGAATTGTGCGCCGCGAGAAAATCACGGGACGTCGGATGTTTTGTCTCCCCATTCATAGCTGCCTCCTACGGCTGTCATTTCTTTCGTCGATCGATACGAATTTCCGAGTCGACAAAAGGAACAAAGACGCGGAAACGATAACCTCTCTCGAATTAGTTCCGGGAGTAGCGTCCCCGGAGCGATCTTCCTCGAGATCGTAGTTTATGCTCTCGTCCCGGGCACCGCGCGGCATCGTATCGGCGTCGCGAGATTTATATCGGTCGCCGATGGAAAAATCGATGGGAAGGACGACAAGAATCGTTTCGAATGGTAATAAACGAGAAGAGCGACTCCGAAGTACAGTAATGTCTCCCTAATTGACGCTCAGGTTGTCCACAAAAATGGACAATTTTGGGAGAAGAGAGACGATTATTCGAGCCTCGCGGTTTACTTTTATAGTTATATATTGTCCACAATTGTAAAAAAGAGCCGCAAGGCTCGAACAATCGTATCTCTTCTTCCCAAATTGTCCATTCTAGTGGACAATCTGAGCGTCAGTAAAGGAGACATTACTGTAGTAGTTGAGCGTCAGTAAGGGAGACATTACTGTAGTAGTCAAGCGTCAGTAAGGGAGACATTACTGTAACGCGTGGGACAAGCGTGGCAATCGACGGATTTCGCGTGTCTTCAGCGAAAACTACAGTGGACACTCTCTCGCCCGACGGTTTATTTTTGTAATACTATATTTTGTAATACCTATCCTAGGAAGATGATAACAATTTTATTATGTCCGCTTTAAAAGAAGCCGCGATGCCAGTGAAAAAGTTGATCTGTCATAGATCTTCATTTATTCGCTCTGTTTATTAGACCTAATCTTTTCTTTGCTTGTATATTTTTCATCAATTGTTATGGTATATTTCTTCGTACCAGTTCTTTTACCATCTCATACAGCATCGTTCTCGTTCTATTCTTTTGCATGTTTACGACTTTGTATGTTCGTTAAGTGCTGAATAAGTAAGTAAATAAGTAAATAAATAAATAAATAAACAAGCAAATAAATAAATATATACGAGCAGGCATCATTAGGAGTCTATATTCGGGCATTTTGATGCCCGATAATCACGCGTGCTCGCGATACCGTGATTCTTCGTCGCAAGGTATCGACGCTGGTTGAGCAGGTTCACGACCCATCGTCCCTAGTTACGACGGACCTCCATCAAAATCGCGTCGCTAATAGCTACACAGAGAATACAGGGGGGCACGGGAACGAGTTTTATTATTTTGCACGGTAGCGAACGACGCGAAGTTCCATCGTAAACGAGTCTCGATCACGGGGGGGTAGGGGGCCGCGAACGTGTGTTGGTTTTACGACTTCGATTTGACCCATAAAACTTGGACGCTGCGACGAAAGTTGCACACCGCTTAATTAAACCCCGTTTACCGGCTCTCTTTATCTTCGCGGAGTGGCTGTCCTCGATACGGGGGCCACGGCACGAAAGCGGACCATTCACGCGACTGTGTCGTCCGCTTTCGCTTTCATTGCCTCGAGATCTTTCAATCGCCGAGACAAAACAACGGTGAACGCGTGCGCGGCCGCGTGTGCACGGCCGCCTTTCTCCAGAACCCGCGGAACCATCGAAGCGGACAACGGGACAACGCGAAACGCGACGCACGACCAGTTAACATTGTCTTAAACTTCGCATTGTACCCTCTTTTGTTGTTGGCAACGTGAATTATTCGCTTGCTCCGTGTGCCGCAACCGATTGCTCGCTAATTCCCCCATTGTCCGCCGTGCGCGAGCCGTTTCTTAGTTAAGACGTCGGTCCTTGCTCGCTGAACAAACTAAAAAACGCACGGGAAAATTCCATGAAACGCGCGTTTTCTTTTCGTTATTCGATGCCTGCCGGCTATCCTATCCGCGCGGTGCGTAATGGCGAATTTGTCCGGACAAAACTGGCCAAAAATCGATCTAGTGTAGTCCCGCTAGATCGACAGCAAAGTTAGTTTACTGTTACTGAGACTAGTAGAATTCATTTTCCAGATTTTTGGGATCTGTCCGGAAATCGATCCCACTAGTCTCAGTAACTGGTCCCCCTAGGTCTGCAGCAAAATTTTGGACCAGTTACTGAGACTAGTGGAATTCATTTTCCAGATTTTTGGGATATGTTTGGAATTGTTGGATTGTTTCCGGATTTTTGGGAGTGGGAAGGCATGTCATAACTTTTATGTCTAGATGACACTAAAATAAAGTTTTTTTTACTGTATATCCTTCTTTAATGAAGTAGCTATTTCTAAGAAGTGCAATTCTTATAGCACGAAATGTTGCTATTTCTTCACGGGGAATGCCGTGCTGGTATTTAACATCATTTAAAAATAATTATCTTTCGGATGGATTTTTTCACTATACACAAAATTAAAGACAAATGATGCGAATACTAGACTAGTAGAATTCATTTTCGGGACAGTTCTCAAAAATCGAGAAAATCCATTCCACTAGTCTCCGTAACTGGTTCACCTAGGTCGATAGCAAAATTTTGGACCAGTTACGGAGACTAGTGGGATTGATTTTGTGATAGATGTGGTTGCGAGTGTAGATCAATGTTTGTAAACGTTCTGATTACTTTGACTAAAAATATCGCTAAAATTAACTGTTTATTACAGTTTATTATTATTCTTAAGTCTGTCTCCTACACATTTGCTATGCAACTTAAAGTTCCAGAGAAATCATCGATCGTCGTCACGCCAAGATCGTTCGAAAATAATTATCACCCGGATGGAAGGAAAGCAGCGTCTCCGAGAGAGGAAAATGAAAACGAAGGGCGGCCCAAGAATTCGAAACCGAAACAATTTCTCGCAATCTCAACGATCTGTATGCATAAAATGCAAATTCTTCTTGTCACGGTTGCGACCATCCTCGATATCGATGCTAATAGCGAAACGAATGTTATCGTTAATGTTATCGCGAAACCAATGTTCGATTATGCGCAAGAAAAAACCCTGATCGATCGCTCGTTTCGGTTCCGATATCGGCCGCGGTTCTCCGAGGAATATACAGTAATGTCTCCCTTACTGACGCTCGGATTGTCCACTAAAATGGACAATTTGGGAAGAGCAGATACGATTGTTCGAGCGTTGCAACTCGTTTTTATAGTTGTTGACAATCGACAGCCATAAAAAACGAGCCACAAGGATCGAACAATCGTATCTCCTTTTCCAAAATTGTCCATTTTTCTGCGCAATCTGAGCGTCAATTAGAGAAACATTACCGTATTC